AGTGCTTTCCATTAAAGTGGTCCCAGACAGTGGCCGTCTGAACATCTGACTAAAAGAGGCATTCATTTTATTTTTTACTTGCTTTTCTATCATTCAACGTATTTGCTTTGGAAGATTTAAAAGTGCTTTTAAAAATCAGTTTCACAGAAAGATGATGTATTTCAAACATTTCGCTATTATTTTACAAGTAAAAAATCTGGTAATATATTTAAAAGAGAAACAATCCTTTTCCATTAACAATAAACTTGTATTACTATCTTTTCAAAATAGCTATAAATTTCCAAATTGCTTTTCTTAAACTTATTTATTGATTAGTTATTTTTACAAGAATATTTATTCTGAAAGGGCTTTATTAAAGATGATAATAAATTAACAGACTTTCACTGGTCATGAGAACTTTTGAACAAAACACCTGTTCAGGGCTTAATATATGCAAGATACAGTATGAAGAGATCAGAGAAGGTTAAAAACAATAACAATTTAAAACAAGGTCTCATGTCCTGCTAGGATTTAATTTCAAGCAGAGGCTAGTTAATCCCAACAAGCAAAATTAAGTGGTACATAATTAATAAACAAAACAAGAAGTGACTTCCAAGAAAGAGGTTCTTTTTCTCATAGGACAGTGCTTATTTCACAAAGGAAAGTAGAAGGTCCTTACTCCATGAAGGCAAACCCGTCTCCTTATTTTTGGTTCCTAGTTCTTGGCACTATTAAGAAGCTTGAGTCATTAAAAAATAAAACCATTAGATGGACCTCACTAATAAGATATGAGAAGTAAGCAGAGATGAAGAAGGATGGTCTCAAAATCTGATTTCATTAAAACAAATATTCATGTTTTTTCTCTGCGGCCAGGTCTGTGCCAGGTAGGTTGAGCAGCAAATGTCAAGCACCCATCCAGAGAGCTTGGGGCCAAAGTGACAGCGCGGGCAGGGTGGACTGTGGTGTGGGATGGAGTGCAGATAAGTTGGAAGAGTTGGGAGCAGCGTGGGGTAGCTCTTGATGCAAGGAATTTGAGTAGAGAAAGATCTTCAAATGGGTCTTATGTTCTTGCATTTTTACTTCTTACTAAGCAAATGCTGGTTGGACAGTTGATTGTTCATGTGCATTTTTCTAACGTTTAAAAAAAATAGTTTTAGACTTAAAAGATTGCCATTTATTAAAAATATATACAGCCATCCCCAGCGTGCATGGAGAAATTTGTTCCAGGACCCTCCAGGAGCTTCAAGTGCCTTGTTATAAAATGGCCACAGATTTGCATATAACCAGCACCCACCCCTCCATTATACTTTAAATCAACCTTCTAGGACTACTCAATTCCCAATCAATGTAAATGTCATGCAAATATTGTCATGCTGTATTATTTGGGGGAATATTGACAGAAAATGCTGTATGTTCAGTGAGATATTTCCCGCCCTACCACCCCTGATAATTTTTTCATCTGTTGGTTGGTTGAATTTAGAATGCAGAACTTGTGAATATGAAGGGTGCTTGTTCATCTTTACCAATAGGGCTCAAAACCTGGAATTTACTTGGTTACTTGTTTTTCTTGGTTATTCCAAACAAGTAATCAGCCTACAGCAATCAGCCTTGTTTGATGGTTAACCAATAATGAGTTTATTCTAACAATAATGTTTGGACATACCCACAAATTAATTCTGCTGCAAAAACTAATTTTTTAATGCTCAAGGAATTTTTTGAATCTAAAGAGTCAGAAGGATTTTTAATCCTAAGCTTTTCTTTAAAATAGCTGTGGAACCTTAGAGTAAGTTGTTTTAATTTATATAGCATGCATAAACTGTATTTGTAATTCTGTCTACATATTTAGGGCTGTGCCTACTTTGATTTTACCCATGTAGCCTATCACACTAACCAAGCATTAATAAGAAAGAATTGAAAAAAGTTTTTGATTTGAGTAACACACTTGTGGACAGCCTGACAAAACGCTTAACTTTTGCGAAATTGCTTAACTTTGACACCTTCATTTCCTTTTCTTATAAATCAGCATAACAATTTCTTTTATGACTCTTTGTTCCAAACATTTATTAGTGTCTTGCTAGATATTTTCCACGGTGAGGAAAACTGAGGCACAGGACAATGACATGGCACAGTAGGTCCCAAAACAGAGCTAAACCAGGGTTGCAGCAGGCTGCCTGTCCCGCCGGAACTTACTGTTACCACTCTGCTAGGCTTGGCACAGGTTGCCTCACAGTGATTGCCCGCTTTTTTTTTCATCATCAGGCATTGTGAGGCTAAAATGAGGATAGTACTTTCACTTTTTTAAGTTCAATTATCAGCTATCCCAAATGTAAGCATTAAAAAAATTTTTCAAGGTCTTAAACTTTTTAGAGTGGTTAAAATTTTAATAAACTATTTCCCCACATGATTATATTAGTGAATAGTGTTCAGTGTAGAAAAACTTTTAAAAAATAAAGAAAAAGAGAATTTAAACATTGATCCTCTGTAATAATTGACATTTTTCAGGCGTGAAAGTTGTAATTTCTGTGAAATGTGAAACCTCAAGGATGCATCTCACATTTCTGTGGAATTCGAAGTTAATGTGTACAAGTTTGGATCTTGTTTTTTTGGTCTTTTTGGAGTAATAAGCAATACATTTCCCCCTCAGGTTGTACTGGCATGAGGCCATAATATATTTAGAAAGGACCAAAGAGCTATTAGATAAGTCTTTTGAAATGAAAGATCATGAACATTCTTGGGTTCTTTTCAGTTGAGGAACCTCATGATATTTGGCAGCTTTGATAGACATAAAATTATTTGATGTATTATCTTGCATTTGCTAAGCATATCGTCTCACCCATATAAAAAAGTGAAAATTAATAAAACAAAACAACACCCCCTCCAAAAAGAGCAAAAGATATTCATTGCCTAGCATTTAAGAATCTCAAATTGAAGACTGTTAGTAGAGGTAAAGCAGTTAAAGAAATGAATTCAGAGAGCTTGTTTGGAGTGTTGACTTCGTATTCGCTATGGATGGGGCTGGTGAGCTTCTGGAAGAGTGCTTATTCCACAAAGAGGAGAGCTGACCTTTAAGGGATTCCATTTTGTAGACTTGTGCTGGATTATCTTCATTGACTGTTACTGGCTGGCAAGACATGATTATTAGAGATCGGCAATGAATCACCTTTGTCTCTGTTTATTCACAGGCATTTGAGTAAAGAAGAGCAAAGATGGTGGAGCCTGTCTTTACTTCCTGTGTCTTCTGCTTTATTTGGTAAGAGCAGAGGGCTGTACATCTATACTTAACCGGGGAAAGAATTGGTTATATCACTTAAGAAAAAGGTGGGCCTATCAAGTTAACTTTTTTGTTAGCATTGACTCAAGTGTAATCTGATGTTATATCTTAATGAAATTGATTACAAATCACTTTCTGTACTTTATGAGAAGGATACTTTTCTCAGTTCTTAAAAACCAAATACCAGGTCTATAGCAACACTGAAACTTGATTTATTATTTGTTATTTAATTTTGCAGTGCTAGGGATCGGACTCAGAGCTTTGTACATTGCTAGGGCAAGTTGCTTTAGTTTACTGAGCTACACTTCCAGCCCCATGGGCCAAAGTTTAAAACAAAGTTTATTCAGAATATGTATAGATTTAGACTCTGGAAAGAAATTTTACTGATAACACTGATATTAGGTCTATACTCATAAACTTGACTTAGAAAAAACTTTTGACTATGAAAACTTACCACCCAAGCACATTAAGATGATAATTTTTCTCTATTTTGGATCTTTTCATTCTGTGTTTTTCTTCTCATAAAAGGGCTTGGGTTTCTTAAACTTGTTCTTTAGCCATTTATTGAGTTAATTTCCTATTGTCTTGGTAGGCTTCTAGAGATTGGAACTGGATGAGATTGGTAGTCCAGCCCCTTGAATTGGGTAGATAGTTGGAATTTTTAAACCTATTTTTTTTTTCTTACTATAAAGGCTGCTAAGGTTCCTTAATTTTAGTTGTATGTTGCAAGCAAGATTATAGAAGTATATTTGCTTTTTCTTAGAGGAAGTTCTAGATCCTCATACCTTCAAATTTGCTTTCTTTCTTCTAGTTTTCCAAAAGTAATACCAAATTCAAGGCCAGAAAGCCACTGTAGAGCCATACAGTTCAAATTTTCACAAGTGGAAACAGGAACCAGACTTTCATTCCCTAGGTGGGGAAAACTACTGTTCAGTTTTTATGAGCAATAGTGGTCCTTGCAACCTATGGGCTCAAAGCTTATCCCCATTATTGTATAAGGGCTTATGTTGGAAAACATGCCCATTTTAACTTTCTCTTTCTCCTATTAATCTCAAATGTACTTTCTACCTTATTATTGTAGGGTGGTGGTAGAGTCAGATCCAGGTTTCAAACTTGTTGCTGCTACTTACCATATAGGAACCCAAGAGTTATGAATCCCTGTTTCTGCCATTTTGGAAATGAGTATTAATATGTACTTGACTTAAGGGATTGTTGTTGCCAAATAAGTAAGTCAGAGCCATTACAAAAAGCTTTGGGTCCAGTGACTAGAAAACAAGCTAAGCCCTGAATAAAGAATGTCATAACAGCATTTTAAGTGTTCAAGTGTCTACATTCCTGACTCCATGAAGGAGGGACTCCGTTTTAGCATCTTTGCAGACTCAGCACCAGGGCAGTTATCAGGACAGGTTTTATAAATGAAATAAACGTTATGAACATATTAGGAAGAACAATGAGATTTAAGAGATAGATGAGAGAGGAGAAGACAGAGAGAGAGAGAGGGAAGAGAGAAGGTTCTTGATGATTAATAACTTTTGTGCTTGTGTCATTTGTTCTGAGAAGGAGAATGTGAAATTGCTCTTCCTGGATGAAAGGTGTGCTTCACCAGTTCTACTGTACCATCCCTCCCAGCTCTGATGGTTTTGGCTTGGTGACTCAGCTAGTGTTGCTCATGCATTTTGTTTCTATAGGCTCCAATAGTCATATTAGAAGGCAAGGAAAGAGAGATTTGTTTGCCCTGATACGAGAAAACATGACTTTGACCTGGAACTGCACCACAGGGAAAACAGCTTTGTTCATGGAGCTTGTTGGCTATATAGTTTTATCAGATGACCAGCTAAAGGCTCCGCACCACTTGCTGGGTGAGCACATTGCTAGGAGTACTTTGTGTTGGGCAGTAGCTGCACAGAAAAACACTGCACCATCTTGGACCAAATCAGGTGGCACCTGGACATGTGACCCAGCTTTGTATCCTACTTTCCAGAGGAGGAAATGGAGCTAGGCAAAGATGTGGAAAAAGAATTGGAAAGGAACGAAGAGCTCCAGAGGAAGACCAAACATAAGGTGTGTAAAGTGTATTGTGAGCTAAGGATGCTTGCAGCCTACTTAAATAAATAGGGTTTATTTTCTTTCAGATAACAAGAAGTGAAGTAGTCAGTCCAGTGAGGTTATTAATTTCATTGGTATATCAGAGACTTGGGTGGTCATTTCTTTGCACCATCTTTTGAGCGCGCTCTCTTCTCCTCCATGGCACCATGGTGGGTGCCTCAGTTGCAGATACGAGGTCCATTGTCTCAGCAGAACCTCAGCAAAGGGCAATCAATGCCAGCCACATCTGTCCTTTCCACAGGAAAAACGAAAATTTGACCCCACCCATCCATAGACTTCCTGTCTTGTTTACATGACTCAGAAGTTGCCAAAACTTGGCCAGCATTTTTATAGCTGCAAGGGAGCCTGGGAAAAGACCACTTTTGATGCCTAGCACTGTGATAGGAGGCAGCAGGAAGAGGGCTGTGATTGGCCAGGAGTCAGCAACTCCAAAGAGATGCCACAACTCAGAAGGTAGAAGACCAAATTTCAAAGCTTTCTGTGGACATCGTTACCCAGCCTTTTACTGGACAATCAGTATCAACTTAGTGAGATTCAACTAATGGTGGGATTAGTAATAAGAGCCTTTCCTGTCATCATGTTACTATGTATTCCCAGAGGGCAGTAGTTTCCATGCACAAGTGTAATTGATTGCACTATATACATGGAAAATAAATCCTTTCACCACTGTCATAAATGGGGACCAAATTACCAAAAAACCACCCACAACGGAGAGGCCAGCAGCGCATGCGGACACTAAATCCCTGTTACATAGGATGCCGTCACCGGTCTGTATGGTGGCTGTCCCTCCAGACACTGCTCCACTCTTCCTTAAGTCCCCTTTCCAGGATGCCAGCCGGTGAGGGGTGATGGTGATGACCGGGTGTCACTGAATCTCACTGCATTGTGTATGGCAGTTGGTTGCATAGGCGGCCGAGAGTTACATCAGGAGTTGCAGATCCAAACTGTTCTATTTCATGACCTAGCCAAATTACTCTCTGCATACTAACTCTCATCTCCTGTAAAACAGGCTGAGGTAGTAATTTCCTTCCAGTAGGATTGTCACCCAGGATTAAATGTTGCCAGAACAGGCCCTATATACATGAACTGTATAATGTGTGAGCTCTTCTTCTCATAGTCCCAGCCTCTCTGGATTTGAGTGTCTGCTGAGTTGCTTGCCTTCAGGTCTTAAGCCTTTGGATTTTAGAAAACTGTTGTGGGTTCTACAATGAAGTGACATTTTGTGATTTGTGTTAAGTGAATTGAAACAAATTGATTTTCTGAAAAGTGCAGTTCAAATCGACTTTCAAATTTGACTAAATTTTACCATTGAATTTATGAACAAATATTTGTCTAGAGACCTCTTTTTCTTCTTATAAATTGAATTGTCTTTAGGTTGACTGTGACCTTTCCGAGTGCTGGAAATCTTAATTCAGATTCAAAAGTCATCAGAGACTAATAGGACTGTAGAGAGGTGCTTTAAGAACTGGTGTGAATCATGTAGAAATTTAATGCAGAATGGTATTGTGGGAGATCATGAGCTTTGGCTCAGTTAGATCTAAGTGCTGTTTGCATCCAGACCCATAACTTCCATGTTTTTACTCTAGCTTTACCCTTAAGCTTCATTTGTAACAACAGAGGTGTTAATATTCTTTCACGTGGCATTTGATCAGATGGTTAAATGAGAAAAAACAATTATAAAACTCTAAGAATTGGACCCTTTCAGTCTGTTCTAACCATATTTCCACTTTGTTCCAGCTATGGTAGAATCCTATGGTTTTATTCTTCTGGAAGCCTTAATAAATTAGCAATAGACAGACACATTTCAATAATAAGGCTAATTTTCTCTTTCTTTGTTAACAGACGACTGGAATATGCCAAGATGGAAGTTTTAGTGGACCACTGAAGCCTATGAACATTTTCTATTTTGAAGGCAAATCCAAGCAATCATATTTCAGTAAGGTTACCTTTGATACTTGTTATCTTGATTTTTCATGCTTTCCCAGTAGACTTTTATTCCTTGCCTTCTTCTATTACGCAGGAAATTAAATGGAACCATTGATAAATTTGACATCAGAATTGATTTCAGAAACTAGTTAAACAGAATGAGTAGTGAGTGTTTATTGTTGACCTGAACATTCCTTATTCAGACTTCCTATCATGTTCTGGGCCGTGCTTCTGTCCCTCCCCAGGGAACTTGGGCTCCTCTAGTGGAAGGCCACTGGTGTTTGGAGAGGCACTGGTTTTCTGACAGGGTCATGCTCAATGATCTTTTGCTTCAGTGTTTAAAGGGTGGATTTTCTCTGTTGCCAAGGCTTGCCTTTTCTTGTTCTGGCCTTCCTCTGGGCCTAAGGAGGGCGGTTTGCCTTTGTGCGTTGTCAAGCATACTGAGCGTGTTAACTTTTCATGACTGGGAAAACTTGAGAAAACAATTAAGAGGAAAAGATTTATTTCAGCTCATGGTTTCAGGAGATTTTCAGTCTATGGTCCTTGGCTTCCAGTTTCTGGGCCTATGTGAGGAAGCATCACTGGTGGGAGGGTATTGATGGAGGCAAAATTGATCACTCATTGTATGAACGGAAGCAGAGAGAGTAAGGGAAGGCCCTGGGGACAACATGTATTACTTCAAAGTCTTTCACACGTGAACCTACTTCCTCATTTAGCCCTACTCCTATAGGCCCGTCTGCTATGGAACTCATCAATGGTTAACATTGATAAACTTATTACTCTCACGATCCTGTCACTTTTCAATAGCACCATCACTTGGGGACCATGTCTTCAACACATGAACCTTTTTGGGGGGATACTTTATATCACAAAATCAGACACCAGGACGTGATTACTTCATTTAGTTGGACAACTGTGAAGAGCATTCAATTGAGGGGTAGCCTAAGGTTAAACTGAGGACTGCAGCTGTAAGGGTTGGTGAAATAATTACCCAGAATTTGTAATGAAGAAGGAGAAAAAATGTGCTTACCACATTACTAGATAATCCCCTCAGGGAAGCTGCTGGCCTGGAGTGGTTCGAGGGTACTTTTGATGAGCCTTTTGGGGCACTGATGTCCCCTTTCTGCCCATGCGCGAAGGAAGTCACAAGAGGGTTTGCTAAGTAACCTTTCTAAGGTAGACCCCCCTTAAAAAAAAAAAACCCCCCCCCAAACTGAAACATCTGTTTTGTTGTGAACAGTTGATCCACAGAGTTGAGGCCTGAAAGCTGGCCACATTCCTGCTCCTCTCATTGAAAAACAGCTGAGAGAATGGGGCCCAAGCACTAGCTGGCCAGACACACATTCATGTCTGTCTAGCTGTGCTATGTAGTGTTATCAGAGGTCTTTACCTTCTGAGTCAGGGAAGTCAGGCTCTGAGGAAGGTGGTGAATATGTTGGAGAAGCTGAAGGCTGATGGGAATCAATCTTGATAAGGAAAGGAAGAGGAGATGTCAGCAAAAGACCCAGCAGACCAGCGTGCTGGAGAGGGCAGGACATGAACCAGGACCAGCGCAGGCCATTGTGGCTGGGGAGGAGAAGAGGGTGGGAGGGAAGGCGGTGCGGAATCAGAAGATCCTGCTTACCTGAGGGTCTGATTCTTTTCTCCTCAAAGGAGTTAGGTTGACTAGTTCATTCAGAATAGATCCCTCAGGGCCACAAACTGGAGGGACCAGGAGGAGCTGGTTAGGAAGTCTCAGCAGGGGTTACACAGAGATGGATCTTCCTTACCTCCTTCTCATGTCCTGCCAGGAAGGCCACTTTTAGGTCTCCACTGACATTTTTTTATTCCTTGTATTCATTGAGTTATTTGCTTAGGCACATCTACATTCTCTTACTAACATGAAGAAAACGTGCCAGAGTTGAGTTGACACTATTATGGTGCGGGGACTTATCATGCTAATTCCTGTCCCAGTGAGCTCACCATTAAAATGTGAACGCAACAATAACAAAACACATTTCACTGAAGTTCTAGTAATTCAGAGGGAAGGTGAAGAAAAGAGTGAGTAATCTATTTATTCTTTTTTAAATGACAAGAATTTTGTCAAATTTGACAAATACTTGGGTCGATGTGGGCTGTATATGCTGTAATCCCAGGCCACTCAAACAAGGCAGGGGAGTATTGAGGCCAGTCCAGGCAATGGTAGCTATGAGACCCTGTCTCAAAAAAGAAAAAGAAAAGGGAAAAAGAAAAGGGCGGGATTGTTAGTCTAGTGGTAGAAGAATGCTGCTTAGCTGTGCAAGGACCCTTGGTTTGATTCTCCAGAACTGCAAATAATAAATAATTAAAAAGTACATATTCATCATGGCCACCATTTTTATTTATTTACTTTTATTATTCATGTTCTTGTTGCCTTGGGTGGTACAATTGTGAACATTTACATAAGTTCTTACTTATATTGTAGTAGAATTGCCCCCTCCACTGTTCTCTTTCCTTCTCCCCTCATTCTTAGAATAGTTTCAACATATTTATTTTCCATTTTCAGTACATGAGTACATTATATTTGCTACCAATTCATCATCCTACACCTATTCCTTATTTCCTCACCTCCCCACTGGTTACCATCCCTAGAACCAGGACTTGTTTTAACCTTTTGTCCTCTCTTTTGAAAAAAAACATTTTGTTTGTTTAAGATATCATACAAGGAGTTTCTTAAATACAATACAAGGAATATTATTGTATTCCAAATTGGTTCTTCCCCTCCATTTTTATTCCTTTCTACCTTAATCCTTTCTTTCTTTTTCATTCTTTATTTTATTTCACTTATTTTATTATTGTTGTACTGGGGACACCTGTGACATTTACAAAAGTTCTTACAATTTAGTCTTTTTCTCATGGTGATTTTCAGCAGGTTTTAAAAATGCTATATTCTTCTTTTTTTTTTTTTACATTATAAGTCCATTTAAAAAATTTTTTTTCTTTCATTTCTTTTATTATTCATATGTGCTACAAGGCTTTGGGTCATTTCTCCCCCCTGCCCCACCCCCTCC